TCAAGACTGCAAGGGATGAGAATTTGCAGGGAAATCCCTTGGCAAGCCCACTTGGGTCCCTATCACCCTGTGATCAGCACAGGGAGCTTTCACTGTGCTCCGGGCTCCTCCTCATGGGTCCCTGTATCTGCCGCACTGTCTCCTAATTCACCCACATGCCTCAGCTCTGTGACGTTGAACTATGGCCACATCTTATTTTCCTCTGAATTTATGTTTATATACCGGTCTTGTCTCCTACTTTCCCAGCCTTGGGGAAACCTCTTGACCCCACAGAGTCTCCGTTTCTTCTGCTATATCATCTGTATGAGAGCTTGCATGGCCTTGGGTGTTGCTGTGAGTGTCACCTGACAGCAGGGTGACCATGTAAACTGTGGGACACTCTAGAAAACGGTGTGAGGGACACTGATATTCTTCCCTCCCCCCCAGCAACATGCACAAGGATTCCCAGAGAAACAGGGAAGGATCGGGCCTCCAGGAAGATGTTTTAGGTTCCTGGTCAGAAATCAGCTTTCTACTGGCCATGTGCCTTTGGATGTATTTTATACATAAAGACAAATCTGGGCTTCTTTATACCATTCATTTCTTGCACTCATAATGTGGTCAAGCATCGTGAGCATAGACCAGGCAAAGTAAGTGAAAAAGAGAAAAAAGTAAAAACAAGTAACAACAGCAATCCACCTCCCTCCTCCCCCGTCTGAAAAAGAGCCTTGTTCCCACAGGACCTTCAGATTTTGCTCACCTCCCTGTCCCAGCCTGAGCCTGCCCTCTGGCCTAGGCGGCAAGTCTGTCTGGATTGGTCTTTATCGGTGCGGTTGCCTCCTCTCCCCCCTCTCATGGGAGCCATTACCTATGCACCTCCTTCCCCAGACTTCAGTCTTTTATGCTAACAGCGTCTGCCTTTATGGAAGGCCACCCCTGATCCCTCCCACCGCCACGCCCACCCATGGCACCCCCAGCCCTCAATGTCAGGGCTGCACACCTCTGGTTCTCAGCCATTCCTCACTCATCAAGTCTACACTATGTGGCCACATCCCTGAAGGAAGGTTCTCCACTCTCCTTTTGTTAACAAGCATCACTTTTTTATTCTCTATCAGTCTTGTCAAGTTTCAAATGACACTTGTACAGCTCGAACACTCTCCAAGGGCAGACCCTGCATGGTCACTCATTAGATGTCCTCTGTCTCATGGGATCACGGTGTATAAGAGGTGCTCGTCTGGTTAAAGAAACAGACCTATGAGAGGCCGCTATTATCCAGAGCACTCGCCGTTCTTTTCCAAGCCATCCTGTGGATGGAGTGAGTCACCAACCTCGCCTCAGCTCTTGGCAGCCCCCCATCATTCTTCTCCTTCCTCCGAACATCACATCCCAGCGGTGACTTCACAGGGCTCACACCGCTGATTTCAGAGGGAGAGACAGGATTGTGGATGCAGGGACTGACTCACCGCTCTCCATGTTGGTCTACTGCTGAGGAAACACGACTCGGTTCACACCCGGCAGTGTGAACACATGAAGTCGTTATCTGGGTTGGGTTGCTATTTCAAGTTCTGATACAATAGTTCCAGAAATAACTGTGCATTCAGAATGAACATAGCTCATGCTCCTTATGACTGTCTTCAACACCTGAGCTCACTTCAAAGTGTGTGTCCACAAAGTACCGCGAACCTCAATGCTCTCAAAACTTCACACACCAAACACTGAATGACTACAGAGACATGACTGTTTCAGCCACAGAGTAGGCCCTAAAATTCCTGTAGCTCTCACTTTAGTATCTGCTGTTATAGATGGTTGTGAGCTGCCATATGGGTGCTGGAGAACTGAGCCCAGGTCAGTGAATTAGTGAATTATTGAATTAGCTCTCTAGCACCTCAATGAACATCTTTATTTCTAAGATACAGCCACTTTGTTTATTTTAACAAACATTCCTTGAAATTTGCTGTGAACCAGTGACACCAAGGTGAGCGGTGGTTGCTTTTAAGAACTTCATAGTGTGGCTATGGTAATGGTTCAGCAGTTAAGAGCACTTAGTGCTTTGCAGAGGACATAATGCTTTTCAGCTCCCACAAGGAAGCTAAAGACTGTGGGTAACTGCAGTCACGGGGATCTGATGCCCTCTTCTGCCTGCGTGCAAATAGCCGGCAACCACTTCCCAAATAACTAACTCGGGGACTTAACATGAATTGTGAATGCTCTGCCAATAGCTCAGGCTTGTTACTAACTAGCTCTTACAACTTAACCCATTTCTATTCTATGTGCTACCCTGAGGCTTGTGGCTTTTACCTCTATCCCATTTTGTGTGCCTGATTTGTTCTCTGTCTGTCTGGTGACGCCCCCCGACCCTGCTCTTCCTCGTCCCATCATTCTTGGTTTGGCTTTCCTACCTATCTTTCTCTTGTCCAGCTATTGGCCAGTCAGCTTTTTAATCAAACCAGTCATAGCGACATATTCTGTCAGCGTACAGAAGGAGTCTTCCACAGCATTCTGTCCCTTCCTTCTGATCTGTTTCTCATTTGTTTTCTGATATCTAGGCTCTGTCCTGAGTTAAACCTTCTCCGTTCCCTTCACCGTTCTCACCGGCTCCCATCTGACTAGCTGTACTCACTGCCTGGAGCTGTCTGAGGCATTTGGATGAATGCTACCTAAGCTAAAGAGTGTTGAGGTTTTACTAAATACCTTCCAGTGTTTAGAATAAAGATGGGGCTCCACAGCCTGTGATTTTTATGACATTTTGTTCTCAAAGAAGGTCTTCTATTCTTCTGGTTTCACTCACTGTGACCAAAATTAAGTTTTTATAAGTAATAGGTAATTGTATTATTCATAGATAATAATATGGATTGACAAGTCATTTTAAGATAAAAGAGGATGGAGACAGGTTGGAAATATGAAGCAAATTTAAAAAGATGAAAATTATTATTCACCTAAAGTTTCTTGAATAGAACCTTCAAGATGGGAAGGAGATGGGTGAGCAGTATCATTTATAAGGACAGCCTGTGTACACTGATACCAGAACTGAGAATATGGTCCTTGATAACCCCAGCAGAACAATGGCAAATGAAGTATTCATTCCACTCTATTCTACAGTCGCACCATGATTACAGCCAGGGGTGGAAAATCCTAGAAATCTTGGCACAAGTAGAATCCAGTTAACCTCACTGAGTAGTTAGGGAGAGAGAGCTTGAACTAAAACAAGGCTTTGAAGCAGGCTCCTGGTGGGAGTTTACAGGTGGAGGCTTTCGCAGCCAAAGGCTGTGCACGGTAGACTCAAGCACTGAGTGGGCGCAGACTTTGCTTCTTGCCTTAATTCCATAAACAATATGGTCTAGACTTAGTGTCGGGCATTATAACCTACAGGAGGCTGAGCAGAAGTTTATGTGAATACTGCACCCGAGCATCTGCTGATTCTGATGTTCAGGAGGACCTTTGAACAGAGAGGGACAAATGGCAGGAACTCTGCCTCTGGGAGAAGGAACAGAAGATAGGGTGTTTTTCAAAACGAGGTTTGAGTTTAATATCAAGGAGAATGTCAGGGTTGATCTTTGGAGGCATGAAGGAGTGAGCTTCCTGAGATGGGTCTTCCATAAGCGTGTGTGAGCAGCGCCTATGAGCACCGCCCTCTGGCTCCAGGAACTTGGTCCATGCGAAACTTTATGTAATAAAGTTGACTTAACATGACAGAAGAGAAGTATCTTTTAAAGTTTCCATGGTAGATTGCCCTTTATTTTTGCAAAATCCTTAGTGCAAGGCAATTAGGCAATGAGTGAATGTGCTGGAGGAAGGTGATGTGTATGTGTAGCTGTGGTCCTCTGGATCTCATTCATGTTCATTTCATTTATTTTTTTTTTTTTTAGAGAAGACCTCAAAATATAGCTCAGGCTAGCCTTGAGTCCACAATCATCCAGCCTCAGCCTCCCGGAGTTTCTGATTTTTTTTTTTTTTTTTTTTTTGTACTTAATGTAAATCAGCAATCCTTCCTAACATTCACCTGGGCCCTTAAGTTAAAAAAAAAAAAAAAGGCAGTGAAATGCAGGGGAAGTGTATCACAAATCCAAAGTTCTACAACTGCCCGCAGCTCATCTGGCCACTCCAGCAGCAGATGGATCTGATTTACCCCGAACGCTGCACACCCCAGACAGTAATGGCATTTGAGTTGACTGGTGTTTATAGTAGAAATTAGCTATTTGTGTATTGCATGGCAATTATAGTCATTGATTTTTTTTTTTAACTTTGAGTTTGAAATAGGATCTCATTATGCTATTTATGTTTATCTGGAATCGACTACATTGCCCAGGCTACCCTTGAAATTATGATTCTCCTGCCTCTGTGTCCCCAGAGCTGGTATTACACAAATACACCACCCATGTTCAGCCTTAATTTACTTCTTACACTTGTGCTTTCTGTGTTGCATACATAATACGAAAGGGGCTAAGAACCTTGGGCAGTTATTTTCCTAGGAGAGTGGAAAGAAGAGCCATCAGATTTTCTGAAAGCAGCTCTGCAGCCCACAGTGCTCCCAGGGGCAGAGCTATAATGATCAGGCCCTGCTCTCTGCTTCGTCATATTGCTTTGCCTAATGACTTGTCTATTAATCCCTTAATTTGTTTTCTGCACGTAAAAATGGAGACAGTAGCAACATTTCTCATGGCTGTGAAAGTGCTAACCTCATACGTATGAAGAAACCGTAGACACTCAACCAAGCGCACACAAAACACTTAGTGTTTTTGTGTCTTTGGGATCACCTTTATTTTTATCTGATAGACAGATACACGCACAGATGTTACCCTCATGGTTACGGTATATTGCAGCAAAAAGACGCGGCTCAAATTCAGCCGAAGAAAAGACGTATGGTTAGACTGTCAGAGTGGTCAGGTTCTGTCTTCAGAAAATAAATAAGTTAATTAATTAGTGTGTGGGAAACGGATAGCAAACAGGTAATCCTAAGTAGCTCCTCTCCATGCCTTGATTCTCAAGGAGAATTTGATTGTGTTTCCTTTCTCTCCTGTCAGATCTCAGTCTGTGGTGGAAGCTGGGACCCTGAAACACGAAGAGAAGGGGGGGAACGAGAACACTCAGCCACTGCTGGCTCTGGACTGAGTCGCAGCGCGCGATGCTCCCATGCACAAGCCTCCCTCCAGTGGGGCAGCACCCAGGAAGAACCTGGACTGACATCCAGACACCCGCTCGGCTTGATGTGAAGTCCTCCACTCCACCCCAGCCACGACTGTCGGCAGCCACTGGTCTGAGCAGCCCGCATTGGACAAAGATCTGAAAGATGCTTTTAAAACTTAATTTAACTAATTCATTCATGTTTTAGGGAGGGGTTGGGGGACAAAGCAAGGCATTTCTGTAAAAACAACTCCCCCTCCCCATATATTTATGGTAGCAAATGTACTTTAAAAAGGAAAGACTGAATTTGCTGCATATACATTAGGACAAGAACTGCTCTAACTAAGGGTTCACACAGGAACCCTTTCCAGGTTTTGCAAATTAAGACGAAGTACATTTCCAAAGAAATACAACAGACTTAAACCGTGCAGACACAGCATCAAGTTTAATGGCGTGCAGAACCCCAAGACAATAGTAGCTACAATAATTTCAAATTTTATTGACTTACTTTCTGACCCATCACCAGCATCTATGTGTTCAGCCTGAAAGTATAACCTCGCAGGTATGGCGTTTTGCAAAGGTTTTAATTTAAATATCCTGCAAAACTGATTTGGACATCATATTGTCTGTCAGGCCACCGGCTGACTTCATGAACTGGTTTAAAAGAAGTCATAGGCAGTTGACAAATAACTGCTTCATCTTAGCAAAGTGATTTCTTGTAGGCATCTGGGGGGGGGGGAATGTCTACAGAGAGGAGGCAACTCATTGAAAAAACAAAAACCACACTGATGAGTGATGAGTCCGTTCAACTTAGTTCTTGGGTTTCTACAGCAAAAAGTGCTAGCAAGCCACTTAGTCCCCACCATCCTGTGGAGAAAGGCCCTGCCTGCATGGGCAGACAGCCCGTCACCCAGAAAGACCCTTAAGGATGGCTCAGCATGTAAGTCCTGAGCTGAGAGAAGACCAGGAATGCAAGATGAAATGCCAAAGACCAATCTACTTCTTTACCCATTCTCCTTAGAAACGGACCCCCAGTCCCTACTCACAGGAAGTCAGAAAGAAAACAGACATCAAAAGTTAGGGTACTTTATTTACGCCATGCTTCCCAGACCAGTTGAGTATATGTAGATATTTCATCCCCCACCTATGGGTAGGACATAGGCACTTACCATGCGCTTAATGTCAACTTTCATTGACAACGCTTAGTAAAATGTTTTACATTTTAAGCATTTGGTAGGTTGATTTATTAGCTCAACAACCTAAAGGAAACAGCAAATCAATTTAACTTTCAACCAGCCATAATCACCTAAACAATACTGCTAGTTGTGGGCACTTCTCACATCCTTCTTTTCCTATTCCTGCCCGTCTCTTCTCTCTCTCTCTCTCTCTCTCCCTCTCTCTCTCTCTCTCTCTCTCTCCCACTGTTCTCCCTTTCTCCCCTCTTCCCCTTCTCCTTTGTTTTCTCTCTCTTCCCTCCCTCCCTCTCTCCTTCCCTCACATACTGGAGATCAAACTGAGGGCCTTCTCTTTCTAGGCCAAGTGTTCTACTCCGGAGACCTGAGCTACATTCTACACACACACACACACACACACACACACACACACACACACTTTCTCAGTTTATCTGTTGGCTTATTATTTTTCTTCTACTAGAAGAAAATAGTAACTAAACCTACTTTTATGTTCCGACCTTGAAGGAGTAAAATCAAACCAGATTTAAAATATTTCTCAAACAATTGCATCATAGTATATGAAGACACCAATTCATTTTGTGTAGACCTTTTGAATCATAAAACAACCACCCTGAAAAATGTCTCCCAAGGCCTTGGTGGAAACTCTTTTCTTATGATATAAGAGAAAGGAAAAAAATTAAAGTGAATTAGAAAAGTTTTTATTGCTTGGGTTCATAAAACAAATGAGGGTTCCAAGTATTCAAACGCTGTTGACATCACTGACTGTCAACCTGTGTAATATTAAAGGTACTTCTGACTTTCTAATGACAATAGTTAGAATCCTACTGTGATGACCATATTTTAAAAACCATGTTCTATTTACTAAGTCAAAAGCTAATTTTCACTCATTTCCACCACTTTATTACATGAATGTAAGGTGATGGATTAACAATGAGAACATATGGTTTGCATTTCACTATGTGTAGGTAATAGTAGGCAAACCAAACCTAATAGGCAACCGAGTGTTAGTACATGAACGCTGGATTGTATTGCCTTTTGTCAGTAAGTTCCTCCGTTTAATAAATACTGAAGAACACAAATATCTTTTTGTTTCCTAAGAGTTTGTTTTCTTTTCTGGAATTCGGTAGTGATTTGATATTTTCCTCCCATGCCTTTGCCATCTGTTTTAGAAGAATTTTTGAACACTGGCAAAAGAAGGAAAAAGTACCTATTTTAAGAGTGGACACATACATTTTGTAAACTTTCTACTAAGAGCTGATATCCTTAAGCTAAAAGAAAAAGAATCAATTCCAGGGTCAAAGAATTGCCCACTAAATGAGGTACAGAAAGCTTCTTCTATTGACATTGTATGAAAAGAATGCACCTACATTTTCTCTACCTGCGTGGCTGGAACGTGTCATTTCTGTAGTATTGTTGTTCGACCGGCTTAGAGATCAGTGCATGAATATCATTACATTCTAAGCTTGAATTAGCTTTAATTTTAAAACAGAAACTCGAAGGCAGTGATGCTTTACTAGTCAACTGATCACCTCTGGAAGGAGTAACACATTGACTTCCTACTGCTCTTTCTCTGCCATAGCTAGTAGTAGTCAAATCAAGCCCACATGCGAAGCACTATTTCAAAATAATGATTAGATGGCAGAAGGGTTTTGAGTGTAGAAGACAGAAAATGTCTGCAAATTCAGAATCAAACAAGCTGGACCACCTACATCCAGGATAAAAAAATCCTAGCATGCCTGGGGACTTCTACACTGCTCTTTCTACATTCATAAGATTGTGAGGAGACTCTCAGAAACCAGGTAGCCATCCTCTCGGCACTCAAGTGGATCCACAGGAGACAGACACTGCAGATTCCAGGCCTCATACATAGAAGGCAGAGTCCAGGCTGCCTGGCCACCCGATGTTGAGTGAGAAATTCCACTTCCATGTCACATTTTCTCTCTGAGTCCCGTTATTTGGTATTTTCTTATAAGAACATGAAATGTTCCCATGGCTTTGCTCAGTGTAAAAAAAAAAAAAAAAAAAAAAAACAAGTATTGCTCTTAGAAATAAGAGCTTGATAGCATTTCCATCATTAGCACAGAGAAAGGGGAAGACACTAAGGCTACATGAAGATACACAGGGAGACTCAGGAGCAAGGGTTGGCACAGTTTATACATCCCGGAGTAACTTCCCATTTATGTTAGGAAAATAAAGTTGCCTTGTTCAAAGGTGATTTTTGTTTTGTTTTCTGAAAGGAATTATGTCTCAATTTATCATGGAGATTACTATTTAACAGTAAGAAGTAAAGCATTTATACTTCTTGTCAACAAAAACATGGTGACAGAATACTTTAGTAACGTAGAAAAATATAACTGCATAGAAAAATTACAAACTAAAGTGATTCTTTCAGTTTTTACAAAGAGTACATCCTCAGTGAACACTGATGTAGACACTAGTCTATGTAGAAGAATATCTTTGGCTAGCAATATAGCACAGCCAAGTGTTCCCCTTCAATCCAGGTAGAAGTTCTGTGCTGTCATGAGTGACTTGAAGCAAGGGGCCTCCTAAATGAATTGCAATAAGGCAAATACTCCTCCCAGTGATGTCCAATCCAGAAGGAGCCTTAGAGGTCTTTAGCTACAAGGCAAGGGGATGAAGAATCATGGCACTTGAACTTCTGTCTCCACAGCCCAGCAGAGGTGGATAGGCAGCTTCCCTGAGGAGCATCCGATCAAGGCTGTGCCAGTTCCTTTTAAATTGCAGGAAGGCTGCGTCTCTGCTGAGGGGTCAGCTCGGGATGCCACACATCCACGATGAAGATCAGCCGGAAAGATGAGGCGTCCTGCCACACCTCATGCTCAAAAGAGTCATCAAAGATGAGCACCTTGCCTTCTTCCCACGTCCTGCAAAAGACAAACATGCATCTGTCAGAGTGGCTTTGGGAGTTTCACGTGCCCGAGGACCAGATTCTGGTCATAGGCAGGAGGACGCCTTCTGACCACCTTTTGGATATGACCATAACACCATGCCTGAAAATGGTCTTCCATTAATGATTAAGAACTTCAAGCTTTTTACCAGTCTTCCTACCCTGCACTAAAGAGAGGCAAATGACACAGGCTGGTGACAAGAACACACTGGCATTATTTCTATTTTGGATCTCATCTTAAAGCAGATTTGTTTAGCTGAACAAGTGTCTAGAACCCAGAAGAAACAAGGAGGCTGGGCAGGCAGATGAGTGAGTGAGTGCTCTGGGGAAAATGGCAGAGGCCTGCCCTGACTTGGAATGGCATCACTACACTCCTAGAATGCACAGAGGTCACAGACTAGAGTCCAGATGCAAATCACTTAGTTCCTCTCTACTTCAGGTATGAAGAAAGACACATCCCATGAACACAGACTTTCTGTAAGGAACACCAGCTGTCGAGTGATGGGTGAAATGGAAAAATGACAAAGGAAATATACCTGGTCTCATTGGCACAGCGGATCTTGCAGCCTTCCTTGGGAATCACCAACCCTAGATGCATTCGGAGCCTGCAGTTCGTGGGTCCTGTGTGTGGCCACACATGGGTCCCAGGGTGCATGATGGAATATTTAATCTGCACAGAAAAAATGGCACCCGATCATCCATTTGCCAGGGTGTGAAGAAGCAGCAGAATGAGAATCAGTTCACAGGAGAGTCCTTGTAACCCCTGGGATTTACAGTCACAAGCACTGTCATTTTCCATCAAGTGACATAACACAACGTTTTCCACCTTCAAATTTTGACATCAACCATATGGAATTATGTCCCACTAAAAACAGAATAGAAAAAGAGACATCCATTGTGCCAAGGGAAATAATTGTGATTCTGTGAAGGTCGTCTCCACCTCTTTCCTGACAACACACTGTGTTCTTCCCATCTCTGAAAACACCCTTGGTACCTGTCCTCTCCTGCATCCTGTTGTCTCGGTGAACTTTTCTAGTAAAGTACAGGTCTTAGGGGCTCCTTTACAGGCATTCTCATTTTTCCTCCCTAGAAGAAAACATAATAAAAACGACTGTGAGAAGCAAACCACAGTTGCCATGGTGCATCTGTAGTTTCAGCTACTCTGGAAGTTAACTAGAAGGATCACTCGAGTCTAGGTGTTCGAGACCAATCCAATCAACATAGTGAGGTCCTACTGAAACACACACAACAAAAACTAAACTTCAGTAAAACTTTATCTCCTCCCACGTAGACCACATGTGCTTGTAGAATCATCTTCACCCTAGGAATGTGAAGGCCAAGAGAAAGGCAGAGGCTGGTATCACCACAGCACACTTAAAATGCGAAGTGAGAGAGAGAAAGAGTCAGCCATTCAGATGGTAAAAGACTGAGCAGCTGTGGCTGGTTTTAGAAATTGAAGGGCAGCTAAGACAAGAACCATGGTAGAGTCAAGATTCTGAAGCCTGTTGCAGGATAACAACCCATTGCAGTGAAACCCATTGCAGACTTCTGAGACACACTATCAAGTTACTCGTTCGTGCCAATTAATGCAGCCTCTAATAGGAAAGTATCTGATATTCTATACCTAACCTAAAATGCATTTCTAAGAGACATCAAAAAATTAAGTTGGAATTCAGTCTATTTTTCAGTGTACAAAGAATCTTTAACTGTTGATAATGTGGCATTTAAATGAAGAGGGTGAGGATCTTTGAGCAAAAAAAAAAATTGTAATGAGTAATTGTATCAAGAACACAGATTCTGAGCATCCTCTCCAACATCCTGGGCCATTTAAAACTTCTCACCACTCTTCTTGGGAAGATGTGCTCAGATTGTATGCAGTACCACTTGCTCTCATGGAGGAGGAAAACAGAAATTTTTATTTTCCTATTCAGAATTCCTATAAAAGAAGCAACATCTTACATCTAAACATGAATTTGACTTTAATGTTAATATGTACCAAGATAATCTTATGCTGAGAACAAAATGAGTTCTAAGAGATACAACACCATGACTTGTGCCTCAGTCAAGTGGACCACAGCTTATGCCGCTTTATTAGCTCTTTGCAGATGAACTTCTTGCTTCCTCATTGGGAAGCATACCACTAGATGCTCTTTTTAGTTAATAATAGTGTACCCCCACTAGTCAAACAACTCACGATAGTTTGGAGGACTAACATCATAAGGTGCTTTCTAGCCCTGGCTTTCCGGCATCCTTGAGCCATGTCAGGGGAAGACAGGCAGGAGAACATCACTTAGGTTTTTTTGTTTGGTTTTTGAGAAAGAACTTAAAGTGGGGTGGGTAGGGAGGAGGATCTGGAAGGACTTGAGGAGGGGAAGAACATGATCAAATACGTTTAAATTTAAAAATCGTTTTAAGTAATCAAAAATATAATAAAAGAGTTGATCATTCAAAAAGGGATATAAGAGCCGAGGCTAGAACTTGGTGGTATATCGGTTGCTTAACAGGTGAAGTTCTGAGTTTAAATCTCTGCACACCCCCCCCCCACACACACACACACAAGGTACAGTTAATAGCACACTCTTTAACAGAGAAGACAAGGGCAATTGCAAACACATATTTATCGAAATACATGTATGTGTACAAACACATGTTTAAAAACGAGTGCATATCTAAACCCTTGTTTCCCGGGCAGCTTTGCCAGCAGAAGACCCACCCCTTGCCACCTGGTCAGTGCCTGCAGAAGATGACCTACAAGTGGAGGGCTCACCTTGCTGCCACAGTGTGAACTGGCTCCAGTCCCCCTTCTCCCGAAGATTTTCATCCTCAGGCAGGAAGAGACCCTTGGCTTTATCCATCACCATGAGGCCTTCGTCACGGATTAACTTCCAGTTTCTCTCTAAAGACTTCAAACACAGACACCTCATAATGACTTTCCAGTTTCTTATTTGTTTTAAGAAAGAAATAAAATCCGTGCTTACATTTAGATGGCTTATTTTAATTTCTTTGGAACCTCTTCTCCAGTATGTTAAGAGAGAAAAGGGGACAGAGGGAGGGAAATGAGATGGGAAGGCAGCTTATTTCTGGCTAAGAGCACTTACTAGCTCCCATTGCAGAAGACCAGTGTTTCCTGCACTCACAAGGTGGCTAACTGTTAGACCCTAAGTAAGCCCCATCTTCCCATGCAACCAAGCAACTTCATGGAATGCTGGGAACTGTAGTTCGTAAAATTAACAGTGAAGACTCATGGGAAAGTACTATGGCCTATGGGTTTTGTCCATAAAAGCTAGAGCAACAAGTCTAGGCACCACTCAGCTGGCGTAGTTCAGGGAGTGGTTCTAACCCAACTCCAACTTGGTTGGTATGTACAATTTTAATAAAAACTTGCTTTAATTTGGCCCAAGGTGGTCGAACTGGCCCTTCACTGGTGAAACTCAAGATTAACAGCACAACCGTCTTTGACTCAAGTTCCAGGATGTTCCAAGTCTTCTTGGCAGACATGCAGTGCATATACATGTATGAAGGAAACATACATAAGAAACGGAAGTATAAACCCATTCTTACAAACTATGAAAATCATTCTCACTATAATTACTTGTATTATGACTTGCCTAAAGTTCCCTCCCTCCACCCTCCCTCCCTTCCTTCCCCTCTCTCCAATCTAACTGATGTTGCTGATAATGCAATGACAAAGTTCCACATGACTCCAGCATCCACACTGGAATAAGGACCACAGATTTACTTCCAATAGAGCTCCTTATAGTGATGCCATTCGACAAGGTAAACGGTACTTAAACGTTCAGAGGTGCTGGAAAACTAGCCACTGGGGCAGGATGCATTGTACACTTAACCACAAAACACAGATATGTTTGGCATTCAGCCCAACAAACATATCCTCCACTTATTTATGAGGCTGCTTTTGCCTCTGCTGGGGCTTGATATGGACAGATTCAGTGTCTGATCCTGCTGACTCATGTCACGTTCTCTCCGTGCTGTCCCTGGAGGTAGGGAAGTTGGAGGGGACCATGGGTAGAAGCAGGCAGGGTGGGAGGCTGTGAGTCTACAGAGCATCACAGAGGTAAAGCATAAATCCAGGGTTTGGGAACGAATAGCTCACTGCTCTGTGCTCCATAAAAAGTGGACAGGGGGCCATAGGCAAGTAGGTATGAACTACCTGGGTTTCAACAGGAATCAGGGATCAGGCATCCCACGTTGCGGGTGGCTTATTAGCAAGCAGGCCACTGAAAGTGGGTACACAAAGAGCAACACCCCCGCACACAGCGAGGAAACAGCGAGTGCTTTCTGGAAGTGTGTTGATCTTCCTTCGGAACAGTATGCTATCTTTGAGTCAATCAAGAAAAATGACCCGCTGTTGGATAAAAAGAATCACAAAATAGAATGATTTTTTTTTTTTTCAACCCATGTTCCGGGGACTCACGATTTAATGTAGGAAAAATACCTGATTAGATCAGGATGACTACACAGGTAGAGGACTCAACAACAACAACAACAACAAAACAAACACAAACCAACAACAACAAAAGAGATTTTAAGATTTGTGTGGGGACTATACCTGTCCAGCACGAAGCCTCTACCTTCATACATAATTTCGAATCACCTCAAGAATTTTCCCATTTAGTGTACACTGCGATAGAATATGTAAACAGGTTGTAAGTAGGTGGCTCTCAGCCAGTCACCAGATGTTAACTGTTAAGCCATGCTCAAACCGGACAGACTCAAGCTGCAGGCAATACAACTACTTTGCCTTGCTTCTACTTTACAAACACAATCAGCTCCTGGGGTAGAGAACTCAGAGACCTTGAGTGCAGACTGCTTCCGATTCTGGAGTCATCAATAAGGCCAACTGAGGTTTTTGTAAGGCTAGACTTCTCATCCTCTCTTTTAACATCAGTGAGCGAAAATAAAAGGGCCCTTAAGGTATTGCAGGGCGAGAGATTTGAGTAGAGGATGCTTTGATAGTTGTTTCTGTGACAGCCATCACCAGCTCCCTTTACCCTGTGCCGTTCCTCCAGTGGCCTCCGTAGAGTGGTACCCATCACTTGTCCCTTGTTCGACACAGCTCAACAACCACTCTCTCTTATTTATTCACCCCCCAAGCTAGCAGCTTATAGCCAGCAAGTCAAAGAGAGAGCGCCTTCAATAAAGGGAGGCTCAAAAGTCCTTGCTCTAGTAGGTCCCCAAGTGAGTTTTGTTAAGTTTTGTTTTGTTAAGAACGGGAAGATTAGGGGAAAGAAGGCAAAAGTCCCCCCGAGGACTTTGCAGACCGAATGCACCTGAATTGCTCCACTCCAGTGTTATTGTAGCTTGTTCAAGTTGCTGGATAAATCTGTTAGATTCTTGTGAATCTGTCATATAGACAAGGAGAGAATTACCTCTCTAACACATGAAATTACTTTCCAAATGATGTTATTGGAACCTTATAAGGGCAAGCCTTTGCTTCACCCACCCCCAGTATTTTAGAAATTCCTTTTGAAAGTAGATTCTAAGGGCATCCTTGGGAACAGCTGATCTTTTGTTACTAAAATAGGGCACAGAGTCCCAGGAGAAAATGTTAAAGTGATTGTATCACTCAATATAACTTAAATTTTCTACCCAAGAACAGGCTGTCTTTACATAAAATGTCAGTCCTGCACCTTCACCCTCAATCTCTGAGGGAAATGTTGTCAAGGCAGATTTCCGTGGTAGTAATGATTTTTCTTTTTATTGTGCATGTGTGTTTAATTAATTATTTTTACTGGTTGTGAAGGGTGACACATATGTATCTCAGGGTGCATTAGAAGCTTAGAAGACAATCTGAAGGAGTCCTTTCTCTCCTTCTATGTGGGATCTGGAAATCAAATTCAAGCGACAGCCTTGGCAGCAATCACCGTTACCTTCTGAGCCATGTAGCAGCCTACCTGGATTTTGTTTTAAAGCCTTCTGTTCCCCCTGTATGTGGCGGTTGAGCCAGGTTACAGCTCCAGCCCAGAAAGCACAAAGCAATGCAGAAGAGACCTAGTACCTGACTTCAAACCATGTGCTAAAATGCCACACACGTTCCCCAGCTTACTTGCCATGGTAGATCTTGTTTGTCAACTTAAGCGAACTAAGAAACACCTAGAAAACTAGTATAGCACCTGACTAGGGGCAGATGCATGGATACTTCCAGAGACAGGCCTAGAAAAGTGAGGGGGCAAGGCTTGCCCTGGTCATGGGTGCTATCAGCCAATTGGCTGAGAGTTTGGGTGGAATTAAAAGCGGGAAGTGAGGGTAGCTAAGTGGCTTGGCTGCTTTGCTTCTCTGATCTTCAGCTTGAATATCTGTCTTTGGATTTTTGTAATTCGTGCTACACCTTCCTTCCTTTCCCCTCTCTCCCTCCCTCCCTTCCACTCTCTCTTTCAGAAACTATACTTCTCTTGCTTGTGTGAGATTTTCTCCTGGTACATCAGACTCCAGTCTTTGAATTCCTGTTCACCAGCAACTCGAGACAGGGGCTTAGACTGGCAGCTGCATCCTTTTTCTCTTCCCGCCTCTAAGCATCGAACAGCAAGTATCACTCTCCAGCTCTCGGGTCACCTAGTAAATCTCGATCCAATCACATGTATATTCTATTGGTTGTATTCCTTTGTAGGGAGAGGTTCTTTGTCCCAGCTGGTCCCGAAGTCCTTGAGCCCCAAATAAACACACAGACGCTATATTAATTATAAAACTGCTGGCCAGTGGCTTGGGCTCCTTATTGGCTAGCTCTGTCTTAATTATTGACCCATTTCTATTAATCTATGTATTTCTACATGGCATTATCTCACCGGAGGACACCTGGTGGGTCCTACCCTCCTGGGCTTTGCATGGCAACTCTGTCTGCCTACGTTTCCCAGAATTCCCCTTGTCTCCTAGTCTCACCTATCTTCCTGCCTCATTGGCCAAACAGTGTTTTATTCATTAGCCCATAAGGGAAACATATATACAGAAGGGCAACCCCCATCACTCCTTCACACACTGCTAAGACCAACCCAGAGCTACACAGATGCCTATTTATATCCACTGGAGAACATGGACTTGCTATTTTCTCTTTGGACTTCAATACTCTGTCAGAGAAATTAATGGCTGGAAAGATCTCTACTGTTGCTTTAGGGAAGCTTTTCTCCTTGGGAAGCACAAACTGACTCTTGGAGTGATTATTAAGCCTGCAGGCCTGTGCCCAGCAGAACCAGTACCAGAAATCCTCTATCTTCCTCTCAGTCATTCCTAAGGCACCCATGGGAAGAGAGAGGGTCACACTTTGGCAAAGAAACTATACTGTGGTGAGCATTAGCCTGTTCCCCCAGAGTCCTCAGGAATCAGGGTTGACATAGGCTCCATGCACAGAAGTTCACACAGACATGCTCACGCACTGTGGGGAGGGCCTGGACATACTTTTAACTATATGCTAAGAAAAAAAAGTATTCAAAATTCAAACCTAATTACACTGAGTACACACGTGTGCATATGTGCTAGCCAGTTTTATGGGGACAGCATATACCACTGACTGAGTGCCTTATAAATAGCAGAAATCTAGTTTTTTTTTTTTTTAATTTTTATTTTTGGGCACTTAAGTCCCACATCAAGGAATTGAAAGATTTGGTGTCTGTGGGCCAGCTATTTCATAGTGGTGCTTTTCATGGGAAAACCCAACAATGACAGGGTAAGACAGGAGACTCGTAAGTGCCCAGCTTCATGATCAAATCTCCTTCAAAATTCCCACCTCTGAATGCCTTCACCATGGGAGTCAGGGGTTCAACACATGGACATGGCAGGGACACAACCTCCCGACACCAGCAGTGCCTCTGTGTGTGGTGGTGGTGGTGTAGGGGGTGTACAGAGTAAGAGAGTAAAGAGAAAATATGCATTTTTCTCCACAGTTGTCTGA